GATCAGGACGTGACCAGGGAAGCTGCGACCAATGCCGGGCTGGTGATGATGGAGAGAGGAGACAAGGCTTACCTCAAACTGGAGAGGGGGAACCTGATGGGAGGCTGGAAGTTCTCCACGTTCTCCGGGTTTCTGGTGTTCCCCTTGTAGATCAGGTTTAGCTTGGATGGGAAACATATAGTCAAGGGTACAGAGAGCAAGGTATAAAATTGTTTTGGGGGGCAAGTTTTAGTTGACAGAAAGGAGGAAGTATCAATGGATACATACTGAATTCCACACTGAAGTTGGCAACGACGTCAAACCGCTTCATATGTATCAGATGAATCGGTGAATTTGCTGCGCCAAATAATCTTGAATGTAATTTCCATTTCCATTGTTGCTGACTACTGTACTGTGCTGTCTGTGCTTGCTTCCATCAGGTGTCAGAGATTTGTGATTTTCCTTTAATGCATGAAATACAGAGTAGCAAATCTTGGTGGCAATAAAGACAATTATTGTGTCTAATCTCTGCCTCTTGCCAAATCTATCTATCTATCTATCTGTCTATCTGTCTGTCTGTCTATCTGTCTGTCTGTCTGTCTGTCTGTCTGTCTGTCTGTCCAGTTTGGTCAGTGGTTCCTGATGACGCCAAGAGACATGCACTTGAAGATAAGATAACATTAGGAAGCAGGGTGTCTTTGTACTTTATTAATAGCAATTGGTAGCTAATTTTGTCAGCTTAAACTTGCCGGCTAAAATGCTTTAGCTCTGGGGTTTTCAGAATTTGAGTTGAGACAATGGCACCACTATGAACTACAAGTCCCATAATATGAGGGCTTTGTAAACAGGAAGTATAATGTTGGTTGGACAACTTGACCTCCCAGTTTTCTTAGCTGTATTCATTTACATTTGCATTAATTGGCTCAATTCAAATTATGCTGAATTAGCTATTAGCTAAAGACAACAAAGATGTAAAGACATCTATCACTGGATTACTTTGATACTGTAGAAAAGTTAAAAACCTGATGATTCTCAGGCAAGTTCAGTCTTTTTTCCTTTGATTTCTAGGTGGATTTATTTATTATTATTCAGAGAAAACGTCCTTGAGAAGTGTTGAGAAGTGACACTGAATCTAAAAATAGTTTCAGCTCGGTAGATTGTTCACAAGGCTGGTGCACAGATAAACATAAACCATGAACACACTCATTTCATTATCATATATGCATAGGGACAATTGGAAATGTGCTGAGTAAACTAGTGAATTAAATAATAAATGAATGTTTACGTGACCAAGTAAGAGGAAAATAAAGGAGTTGAGACATAATGAAAGAATTAAATAAATGTATTTTATCAACTGAAAGGTGGTAAAGAAAAAAATAAAAACATTTTTGGTTTTTTACCCACTGATTGGAGGTTAAAGGAAAAGTATAATACTTTTTCAGTATGTATTCAGTATTATTAATTGATAATTCAGTTTGATTTTTGACTTACCTGATAACCTTATTCTACATTTTTTCATTTATTTAAGAAATGATTTTGAAATCTTTGGTGTCATTATCATATTTAAGTTGCTTGTTCTGCTTCCTGCTATTACAAAATCTGTTGAAGCTAGAAACTGTAAGAAAGAAAGAAAGAAATAGTCATATGCAAAACAAGAAAAGTCCACATTAACCTAACTTTTCTCTCACAGCCTTGCACATTTTATCTCACAAGGACTTTGCCACATGTCCTTGTTTAATTCTGACGCTGTTATGGCCTCCTAACCACCCCTACTACATTTTACATGGGCTCTATAAATCCTTTAATGCAGACAAACGGTTGTTATGAAAATAATGTGCATCCCTGCCGTGTGCCCCCAGAGTTGTATAAAGGACAACAGAGGCTCGCACTGCAAGATTTTGACCACGCATGTCCACATACGCTATCATGTGAAAATACCATTTAAGCATCAGAATTGCAGCTTTATTGTAAATCCCTTAAACAATACATATATTTTAGTTTTTTTTTTATCCCGTTGACGCATGTTGATGCGTCTCTCTGCAGTGGATCCGGTGGCAGATGGAGGATTGGCAGTGAAGGAAGTGATCTGGTGCCAGAAGCCTGCCGAGTTCACACTGCACCGTCACAACCGATTAGTCTCAACATCCTGGTGCACAGCAGAGGCCTGTGTTAGCACTTTGGAGATTCATGTCAGAAGTACAAAACAATGTGAAGACTTTGGTTTCTGAAACAAGAGGAAACGCACCATGTAACAAATATAAAACTAATACATGAAAAGAATAACAGTATATGAATAATCCATAATTAAATATTAATACATTATATTTGTCCAGGTGAGTGATGAATTACAGCAGCAACAGAAGTTATTTGTTTGCAATAAATAGAGAAGGACTGATGTACATTTTTCTCGTCTCAATGCACCTCAATCGATGTCTATCTGACTTAAACTTTTAGCTATCTGACTATAGTGAGAGACCACAAACTCCTACTGAAGGTACCCAGAATGGTGACAGACTCACAGAAAGCAAAGAGAATTGACAGTTTATCTCCAAATGCAAGATTTATTTGTATCAAACAAGATACAAGCAAACCGAGTTGTCTCGAGAATCAACTGACTTGAACAAAGAAAATCACTCTATTATATGCCTCTTTCCCAAAGAATGTAGCCTCTTTCCCAAGGAAGTCTATTGGTGACGTCAAATGTGAAAACAGTAGTCATAATACATCTGATGCCCGACTCTCCAGGAGACAGCCTTGGTCTTTGGAAATCTCTCCTAACTAGGGTGAGACACCAGAGCCTGTAAAATTAAACATAGAATAATACAACATAATGCTTCATGTTCACAGAACCTAATCCCTGAATGCAATTTCCCACCACAGTGGAAAGCGGGATGGATGCTATATTTCATATTAGAAATTCTTTAAGGAAGCACTCAGAGGTAAGTGAGAGAAAAAAATGCAATATATGCTAAATGTTTTGCCAAGATAATCTATATGTACCTTACACTGATTACTATTGATCTATTACTGAATTCTAAACACTGTAGTTCTCTAGTTAGATGCATTTTTATGGGTTTTTTTACGACGAATGAACCCCATAAAAACTTGTCTGGCTAGAAACAAAAAGTGTTTCTTTGCTTTTAAAATGACTCAAACCATTTTGATCATGAAAACAGTTGCTTCTGTATTTTCTGACAAACGATTAATGAACCAATTGTTGCAGCTCTGTGATATCTATTACCTGAAATATGAAAACTGAAGTCAAACTACTGTTGTGCTCTCTTTTAAACTCCCACTGCAGGAGATTTTGATCATAAAAAGTGTAAAACATAAACACACTCACAACAGTTGAGTACAAACAGAATTTATTAAATTATCTGAATCTTAGCTAATACAATCTCCGGATTCTTAATGTTTTCCATATTATACAGTTTCACTTAAGTACCTTTAAGATTGAAGTATAAGTCAGTTGATATTCTATATTTTTGTTACAGTCGACAATTCCCATTTAAGACCAAAAACAATAATGACGTGATTCTACAAACCAGTATTATTTATGTACTCTCTGTACCATATAACTCCATTGTTGTCCACTTTGGAGTCAATTCCACTTGTGTGTTAATCCGCTGCTGAAAATAGTCCCTGACAAATGCATAATTTGCACCTGTTTGATTAATGTTTTAAAAACTTACAGAGCCCAACTGTTTAAGGAAATCCCTGAGCCGTTTTGACAGAGAGCCACAGAGAGGGTAGTGTCAAAGGTATTGGTTTGGGTCTCTTTTTTTATGTGATTTGTTAACAACAAAAATATAGAACATTTTTTTGGCATATTGCAAAACAACACCACAAAAATATTCCACACATGCTCGTTCATCAACACTTCATTGAAGCTACGTCACGCTTCTACTGAGTATACAAGATGCCAAATTTAATGGCAGCACCATTACATCAAACTCTGGATGTCACTGTATACACACTTCTGTTAAAATTCAACTTTGTGTTTGATATTTTTTAGAAAACTCATCTCAAAAATGTACACTTAAAAAAAATTATATAAAACGTAAAATAAAATTCTTTGGGTCTGGACTAATGTTGATGTACCATCATAAGGACGCATGAGTATAAAAAGAACCTGAATTAATGCAATCAGTAAAAAATACATTCACACGTTAAAGACATATATATATACACATTTTGATGATCAAATCCAGTATTCCAGTGCAAGTGAAGGTAGCCATGCCTGGATCTATTTTAACATCCATGACGTACCAGGAAAATGCTTTACATATTAAGGAGTTTCTCCATTTCTTTCACTCCAACAAACAAAAAAACTATTTGTGAAGAGGTTAGACTATATAGCAACCTGTTTTCATTAACAGTCAATCTGTTGTTAAGGCAATTTTTGGCACCTGATGGCGAGCTGGCACTACCCAAGTGGATATTTGTTGACCACAGTTGGTGGAAAAGCAAAACCATATGACTAGCATTGGCTCATATTTATACTGCTGACAGGGCAAAAGGCAGGTGTTAAGTTTTATTAATTGGTTTTAAATGTTTTAACAGAATAAATAAAGACAAAAAAAATACCAAAACATATTTTTAAAACATCTGAATCCTGTCCAGATTTGAAAAGCAAAAAACAAGAAAAGTTAGTTTTTTTCTAACAGGGAGCTTCTCTTACAAAACCCTTCCAGTTGTGCAAGAAAGGATAAACCAAGCATAGAGAACTTTGAACAAAAATTAGAGAACTCAATGTGAACTCAGCCTCCTGTCTTGTCCCTCCTGCTTCCTGAATGTGGCGGCAGGAGGTCGACTCTGGAGGGTGCTGTTGGGTGCCGTCTCCTGTCTGTGTTGATGTGCATGACATTGTTGGTACCATGCTGAAATCCAGTCACATTGCTCAAGTAGATGTTGACTCCACATGCAGCAGGCGGACCAGAAAACTGACGCTGCTGATGCAAAAAAAAAAAAAGATTATCTTGGACACTGTGTGCATTTTTTAATTCCACTGAGGGAATGTTTTACTTTTGGAGGATATAAAATAATGAAGACTTTATCAAAAAATTCTCTAAATACATTTTGATGTGGAAAACAAATCTTAATTATGATAAAAAATATCCTTTAGTAAAGAAAATATACTGTATTTTAATGCAATGTATGGAGTTCTAAATCTTTCTCACTGTGGCCCAAATCTTTAATGTGGAGACGCAAACCAAAGAACACTCACATAGTACGGTGGAACCTGGTTTTGGCTAAAAGCCTGCTGGGACGTTTTTGCTGAGGTGCCTTGAGGTGATCTCCCAGTCGAAGTAAACGGCGGTGATGATGATTTAATGGGGTGAACAAAAGACACTTTCACTTTATGGTCTTTTGACGGGCATCCCTCATCAACATCGCAGACATTCGCATGTCGAGCTGAAGGAGAGTCTGAAAGGGAAGATGTTAATCTGAAAGCATTCAGCCATGATAGATGGTTTGTTTGTCTAAATTTGTTGCCCGTTGGTGGTTTCTATGCGACTTCAACACCAACTTCCTGTTTACCTTTGACTCTTGCTTTATCTCTTGGATTTGCAGCCCCACGACCAGCCATTTCCTGCAACAACAAAAAAGGTGAAAGTTCTGTTTGTTGGTTATTTGTGAAATACCAGTGGCCTAGGTGATATTATAACTCCCACTGGTGTCAGTTTTAACCTCTAAATTAAATCTAAATGAGATTAAAAGCCTGATACTTTTAATGAACATGATCTCTTTTAACACAAAAACATGTACTTTAGCTAATCACATAAAGGCACAGTGGAGTTTTAAAAATGGTCATAAAATATGAATATGAGTGATTCTTGTAATTACTGTCCACTCAGGGCTGTGAACACAACAGGGGAGAAACTGCTAACCTGGCTCCGTCCAAAGCGTAAGAAAAATCTGCCTACTAGCATTTCTAAAGCTTAATAATTAATATTTTGCTTGTTTAATCTGTGAAACTGAAGCATATAAACAACTATTTCTTGTTTCATAAAAATACAAATTGTTGTTTTTACACTTCACAATTCAAATAAACAAGTTGAATTCAATAAATGTACTGATTAGCTTTAAAGGTGCTGGTAGCTGGATTTTGTTGTTGGCTACAGTTACATATTCAGACATAAGAGTGGCATCATAGTGTGGGGGTTCTCAGAGTTAGTAAATAGTAAAGTAATTTCATTCTGATATGAGCAACGAGTGTTATTTGAAATAACAATCAGAATCAGAATTAAAATAAGATATGAAACAAAATGGAAATTCTATCACTGATTGCCCAATCTTGATCCGGACGTTATGCACTTTTACATTTGCTGCGTTCAACACTCTTTCCTGTGAAAATTCCCCTGGGGCAGCAGGAACTGATGCATGTAATATTTCCACGCTGTGGTAAAAAAAAAATAATGAATGAAGAAATACCACAGCATTGACCAAGAAAAAAAAGAAAAACTATATGTCACAGACCACATTGTGAGTTAGTAATTGTTCTTGGGTTAAAAGAATAACAATTTAATTGACGCTGTGTTAAAAAAAGAGACTGAATGACGAAGCTAAAATGTTCCTGGTGGTTAAAAACAAGAAGTGAATGTTTCTCTATAAGAGTCTCAGCACCGTCTGAATTTTCTGAATCTCACCTGAATTGGCGGGCGCCCAGTCGGCACATCATTACAAACATTTACTGCTTCAGCTCTGGTATTCACTGCAACAACAAAAAAAAGGACCATGACTATACGCTTACCCAGAGGCTGTAGTTAGTTAGTGTACAGACATGAGAGGGATATCTTCTCCTCTAACTCTCAGGCAAGACGGCAAATAAGAGTGTTAAATTGTAAGTGGGGAAACAAATTTAAGGCAAGAACAGACCTGGAGCCTGAGAGATATGAACGCTCTGAACCAGCTCTATTGTACTTTCTTCTTCCTTTTTGTGGAAAGAGGAAGAGAAAGAGAGAGTGAGTGAGGCAAAAACATGCAAAAATCTAACTAAGGTTTTGCTGCGTCATGTCAAAATTTTCTTACCAGTTTCATCAGCACTTTATGGACTGCATCGCGAATTGCGTGTTTGTGAATTTTGTACAGTTCTTCTGTCTCAGTCGTACACTCTGCAAACCACAGAAAGTAAAGATAACCTTCACAAACTATTAAATGTATATTTTCTGTCTCAAATTCAGAGTTGTTGATGAGATTCAAATGGCACTTCAGTTGATTCACAGGTTTAGTTTAATCATTAACATATAAGAGGAACCAGTTGAGCTTTGAGCTTAAAGCTAAAGTCAGCATATTAACCAGGCTCACAATGACAAAGCACACTGTCAGGAAGTCAGTGCAGCTCTGGTTCAACCTCCTGGATCCTATTTTTCACTTACGTTCTGCTACCTACGTATTTTTTTGTTCATTAGAATCTGTGCATATTGTGATTTGACATCTGAAGTTGTTCAACGTCCTCCTGGATCCATATTCTTCACATATAGGCTACTTTATAATCTTCATCTATCTGAAATTTGTGTCATCACACCCCTGAGGTTTCTTCCCTTTTTTCCACGTTATGAGGGTTTTTCCTTACCCGAATCGAGGGTCTATGGAAAATTGGGATTTTGGGCTCTATAAATCAAATTTGACTTGACTTGAACATGCTGATGGGCTGAATGTTTCCCTTTAGGTATCTCATCATAAAACAAAATATTTACCTGATAATGGCGCTGAAAAAACAAGTTTAAAGGATTAGAAAGTTATTACAATTAATCATGAGGGTTGGGGAGTTTTCTCACCATAGGCTGTGGGCCTTTGGGTGGGTTTCGCTTCCCAGCATCTCTTCATGAGTTCCATCAATCCAGTCAGGCCTGCAACCCCGACAGCCTGGCACTTGATGTCGTCCAGCGATGGACGGTCTCCCTCCGGGATGCGAAACCGCACTATGCTGGACAATGCATCTGCAGTGGAGGAAGGATTAGAATAAGGGTATCAGTGTGGCCTTAGATTTCACCTTCCAGGTATAAAATATAGCTCTTACATTAAAGCCAGAATTTGGAGAATTTTAAAATTATTCTGATGTTGTGAGATTTTGTTTGAAAATTGAGACAATGGTAGTGAAAATCGGTGCATCTTGTGTGTTGCTTTCAGCCAATGTATCCAGAAGTAAAAGTACTAACACCGCATTGTAAAAATACTCTATTACAAGTACAAATCCTGCATTATTTACATAAAAGTATGTAAGAATAATCAAAAAAATGTACTTAAAGTATTAAAAGTACAGTAGAAAGTACACACAGTAAAAGTAGCTAATGCATAAAAATGTCCTCTGTGACTTTTATATTTCATATATTATATTATTAGATTATTATTAGTCAAGCATTAATGTAAAAGCAGGATTGGGTAGTTAAATGTATAACAAAACATCATTTTTTGAAAGATCCTCGTATGTTTATGCATGCAAAAACCATAATTTGTAACAAGTAATTAAGTAACTGAAGCCATCAGATTATTATAGTAGAACACACACTATTTCCCTCAAATACAGTGGAGTAGTAGAAAGTGGCATGAAAACAAAAGACTTGAATATGTATGCATCGTATTTGTACTTAAGTATTTAAGTACCGTACTTAACGAGTAAATGTAGTTACATTCCACCACAAAACACATCTGACTTGTGCAAACAAATTCCTCTACAGTTCAGAGCCAGAAAAAACAAACGGTAGGTGTGGCCACACAAATGAATTCCTGCCTTTCTTGCACCATATGTCAAAAAAACAAAAGAGACAGACAGTTAAATGACAGGGGACAAGACACCACAGTCACTTACTAGCATATGGTTGTTTCCCTGTGACAATGGACCATAAGAGTATACCGTAACTAAGAGAGACAGAGAGAGTTACATGCACATGAAATTACTTTTCTTTTCATCTGTAAATTGACTTGTGAGAACAACAAAATCAGTGCCAGAATATTCAGAGGGAGGTGTTTAAGCATTTGGGTGCAGTTTACTGAGTGAGGAAGTCACCTGAGTACCTGGAAGTTTTATCAATCACAGTAAAAGCCTTTGTACAGTGTACAGTTACACTCCTCTGTGAAATAAACTGAAACCATTTCCAACCATTGCAACTTTTATTGTCCCTTCCTGCCGAGACTTAACCTGTGTTTAACAGGTGTGTCAAGTGCATGCTATAGCCTACATTTCTACTAGGTAAATTACTCTTAATTTAAAGGTGGGATCAGTCATTGTGGAGACAGATAGTCGATTTTTTAGTCCCATTCCAGGTCGTCAAATGCCGACATTTAAGGTAAATGGGAAACAAAGTGAGCCACACAACACAACAGGTGGCGTTTTTGTGCTACCAGGTAGTCAAATACCAACGCTTTGGGTTGTCAGAGTCACCAGAATGACTGACCCCACCTTTAATTGTACTGAAATGACTCCATTGTTATTGCTGCTACAACCTATTTGTAAGTTCCCCTGAATGTAAAGCTTGTTAATCTAAAATTAGTTGTCACTATGACTTCTTAAAGGACAAGCGTGTAGGATTCAGTGGGACCCTGGGAAAGAGATCGGGCAGTGTGGAGGAGAAACTAAAAGGCAGCAAACTCACAAAAGGCCCTATCTAGAGGTTTGTCCTTTAAGAGGTAAAAACGTCTCATTCTAAGGTAACAAAAACACAAAATTCCTATATTCAGGTGATTATTACACTAATCGAAACATAACCTATGATTTATATATCCTTTTCTGCCAATAGAGCCTCGCGTACATGTTACACACTGGACCTTTAAGTGATCAATAAAACTGCTCTTGTACCTGTAGATATCAGAGGCTCGAGTAGGGCTGTACGATACGCCAAACGCCTCCGGTGGCATGTAGCTCAACGTCCCCCCTTCCTCTTCACTCTCTTTCTTGGAAACCCGTGTGACGCTGTGGTATTGCCGAGCGAGGCCAAAATCTGTGAGCTTAGAGAAAAGGAGGAAAGGAGAAGAAAATTAGCATGGACAGGAAGGAACCAGTCAGCAAGGGACAAACATATTTTATGAAGTTGTCAATGCGCATAATGCACAGCACAATTAGTTTATAATGTCTGTTTATTTGGCGGTTGTCTGATAGTCAGGTTGCCATTCTATCAAAGGCTTAAAACGAAACTCATTGATAAGCTTTTAAATTCACATTCACAGTTGGAGTCTGAGGAAAGAAGCCAGAAGAAATCCAACGTCCCAAAAGACTGAACTGAAACTGAAGCCAATTTAAAAGGAAATGTGTTTTTGTTGACATCTGTAGACCAGATAAGCACATTTTCAAGCAAAAATACCAAATATAAATATTCTCTGGTTCCAGCGTCTCAAATGTGAGGATTTGCTGCTTTTCTTATGTGATTTAACTGTATCTCTTTTGGCACTGGACTGCTTGTTTAGGACATTTTCACCAATTTCTGAGATTTCATAGACCAAATGAATAATCCATTAATTGAAAAGATCTACAGATTCATTGAGAAGGTGATTGTTAGTTGCAGCCCTGTAACGACAGACACAACCTTTAATTAACAAGGTGTCAGTCTACATTTTGCCTCAGTCAAGACTGCGGGGAGTTGCTGCTGTATACTATGCAGAGGCAGAGTGCACACTAGTATATAAGGTAAGCATGCTGCAGGATGAGGTCTGGGTTTTCCTGAAAAGTCTGGGACTCACCTTGGCATTGAGATCTGAGTCCAGCAGCACGTTGCTGGGCTTCAGGTCCAGGTGGAGCACGGCAGGGGACAGGTGGTGGAGGAAGTTTATACCCAGAGCCACTTGGTGAGCGAGTCTGAAGACCAGCGGCAACGGTGGAGTCTCACGTAAGGTGTCCTGAAATAGAAATGTAAGATTCTGTCTATTACAGATAAAAATAGTGACTGTGCTGTAGTGAGTCACATACTCTTTCAACTGAGAAAGACACAAAAAGTGGATATAAGTAGGAATTAAGCAGCTTTTCTTTATGATTTATGTTAAATTATTTTAGTTTTTACTACTCCTTGCTCTCAGGGAGCTGTTACATTTGCTAATAAGCACTAAACACAAAGCACAGATGGTGGAAATGATATAAGCTTTCAGGTATTATGGCCGCCCCTCTTGGTTACTGTTGCTGTGCCCGTCAAGCTTTGTGTCCTCTCGCGGCACATAGCACATGCAGTTTTTGTATTCTTGAAGGTGTGCGTCGTCAATTTCACACAAAAGTAACCAAAGCAGGGGGTTGCACAGGGATCTCACTAAGTACAGCGCATACCACATATCAAGTCCGAGTCCTCACAGGAGC